GATGCCCTCGAAGCACGCAAGGTCGCCCGCAAACTTGGTCTTCACAATGTTGACCGTCATCTGGCGCCAGTTGGCGATGTGCAGCCGTGGCACCTTGGCCCGCACGCACGCCTGCTCCATGCACCGCGTCAGCCGGTTGTCGGCCCACACGGCCCCGTCCTTCCACCACAGGTACGCGGACATGATTGCGCGTGGGGAGGACTGGCGCAGGAAGGCCTGGCGGAGCGGCACGACGTAGACGAGGTAGTCCAGCAGGAGGTCTCCGATGGCGGCTGGCAGGAAGCGGATGTTGTCCTTGAACCTGCCCGTCTGCTGCTGGCCCTTGTGGTAGGTGGTGTGCAGCATCACGAGCCCGTGCTTGAGGTAGACGCTACGCCTCCGCTGCGTGTTGCGCCAGGTGAGGGAGAACAGCTCGCTCTCGCGCAGCGGCTGGCCCGAGGCCATGTGGATGAGGACGAGGAGCCGCTTGAGGAACTCGTCAGCGACGGCCTCGTACTGGTCGATGGCCTTCTGTCGCCACATGACCCTCGTGACCCCTGCATCCGCCTCTCCATCCTCTCCATCCTCAGCAGTAGGTGCAGCAGTGGTGTCGAGGAATGACGCTCGGAGTGACTGCGACTCCCGTATGACATTGCGCAGTGAGCCCGCGAGCGGCTTCAGCAGTGCCGCGTTCTCCCGGTGCTCGCCAAAGTGCCAGCTAAAGTTGTCGGCGTCGAGGTTGTCCTTGAGTGCCCACGCGCGCATCCGTGGCAGGCCCGCTGCGCCAAACATGAGCTCGCCGTGCAGCAGATGCTGCGCCTGCCTGAACTCCGACAGCAGCAGCTGCTGCACCTCGTCCATGTTCAGGTCGACGTCCCTGTAGGTGAGGATCTGCTCGTCCTCGTCCCAGTGCGCCTGGTGCGAGCCCACTCCGTCCTTCGACACCGCGAACAGCAGCAGGCGCCAGCCCAGTATCTCGCCCATGGGCGTCTCCGTGTCCGGCCGCAGGTACTGCTCGCAGATGCTGTTGATGTGCTCGAGCGTGCTGCCGGCGCCCGACCTCTCGAGGTATGCGGCCGTGCTGAAGATGAGCAGCTGCACAGCCCAGATCAGGCCGGACAGGCAGCTGTTGAAGTTGCCCGGCTCCTTCCACGACTTGGTGCGTGGCTTGACGCTCAGCATCGCGCAGAAGCTGAGGAGCGGCGAGCTGAAGCGGTCGCCGCCGAACTCGTGGCAGACGAGGGCCATGCAGAGGGATCGGAGGGCGTCGTTCAGCGCTAAGCGGTCTCCGTCGGCAGCGCACTCCAGGGCGGCCTCCCAAGCTGTCGTCTGCTCGTCCGTCAGCCGGATCCGGTCCTCGGGGCGCCTGCCCTGGTCCGCGCTCAGAGGTGGCGTGAAGTGGCTGCCGCAGTAGGCGACGCGGTAGCAGTACGCCATGAACTGCTTCCAGTACCCAAAGTTTGTGCGCAGTGTGGATGGCTCCTTCTTGGGGTCGAAGCCGCGCACCCTGCCTGCCCTGCAACTGGCTGGTGCCGATGAGGTAGGGGCGCCATGGAAGCGGCTCAGCGCGAGCTGCCTCGGCCACGTCAGCATGCAGTCCGGCCCGTCGAAGCACCAGCCGTGCACCTCAGCGAGGATCTCGTCCATGACCTCGAGCATCAGGAACAGCTCGGGCTCTCCCTCATCTGCGCTCTTCGGCAGCGCAAAGGAGGCGTGCATCTCGTCCTTCTCTAGGCCCCGCACGTGGTTCTCGATGCCAGTCCGCCTCAGCCACGGGACCGCAGCCGAGGGGTGGCTGTCGAAGCCGTGCACCTTGTTGCCCTCCGTCTTGATGTCGTCCGCTACCATGGTCGCGTCCGCGTCGGCCAGGTCGAAGAAGGCCTGCTCCTGCGGCTCGAGGGCGATGGCGGCAGTAGCTGCGTCCCCTTCCGCCCTGTCGTCGTCTGTAACCACAAAGTACCGGACATGCTCGGTCTTTGCGAAGAAGGTCTGCACCGTGCATCTCTGCCACGCGCCACCCTCACTCTGCTGCGACGGCTTCTGCCCGTGCTCCCGGGACACGTGCGCCCTGATGGCCGGCCCGGACCGGGTCAGGGTCGGCCGGCCGTCGTCGCAGAGGATGCAGGAGAATGCCGGATGGCGGCGCAGTCCCTCGATGGCGATGCAGGGCTGGTCTGGCAGGGCGACCTGTCCCGGGGGCCGCAGCTCATGCGTCGCGAAGAGGTCGAGCAGGGTGCGCAGCTCCGGCCCCTTGAGGTCGTGGGGTGGGTGCCTCAGGTGCCACTCCTGGCTGGCGCGCGCGGGCATGAGGCAGGTCCCGCAGTCGCGGCAGAGCAGCACCCCGTGAGTTGCGAGGTAGGAGAAGCTGGCCGCCATCCTTCCCTTGCGCGAGCGGTGTGTGTGCGCTATTCGCCCTTCGTTGCATGCTCTGTATGCGTGCTTGATGCGCCTGCGCCGTCCCGGGGGTCTCCCAATTTGCTGCACAATAATCGCTCCACAATGGCCCGTGCGCGCGCGAGCGACAGGGGTCGCTCGCGTGGGGATTCCCAATTTGCACTACAGATACGGCCGCTTCTAGGGGTAGCGAAGACACCACTTTCTCCTCAAGAATTACGCCCTTTTGAAGGCACGGCGACCCCAGAACAGATTCTGGGCTATCAGCAGAGAATAGGCTCATGCCTATACGCCGCGATTCAGACTCGACCAGATATTTCATTCACTGTTGCAAAGCTTTCTCAGTTTCTCACGAATCCTGGCCCTGATCACCACTCTGCTGCATATAGACTACTTAGCTATTTGTCAGGAACTCGGACGCTAGGTATCCAATATGGCGATACGGATGAGGAAACGCCTTATGAGGCTATTTTCACGTCTCATCCTATGCCCGCAGCCCCTGAGGGGGTGGGATCGAAGGACAGTATGACTGAATTGAAGGACAATACGACTCAGGGCGTGAAGCGCTATTTCCAACCTTCGAGCGATGCCTCATTTGCGGACAATCCTAACTGCAAGAGCTCCCACGGTTTTCTATTCAAGCCGTTTAACGGACCTATCGCCTGGATGTCCAAGAAACAGACACACGTCTCCACATCGACGACTCAAGCTGAGTTCATCGCCGTCTCAGAGGCTGCGAAGGAGCTTATCTGGTGGACGAGACTATTCAAATCGGTCGAATTAGACCTTCACGAAGATCCTACAATTGGTTGCGACAATCTACAGACAGTGAGGCTCCTCAACTCGTCGGCTCCCAGATTAATCACGAAGCTGAAACACGTCGATATACTGGGACACTGGCTGCGTGAGCAGGTGGATCTTGGCGCCATTCATGTGGAATGGATGCCAACAGGACAGATGCCTGCCGACGGATTTACGAAGGCTCTTCCAAAGCAAAAACACGACGTATTTGTCCAACAGCTCAACCTGGTGAACCTCCGAGACCATATTCAAAAGCTATAGATCCAGGAGTCAAATGTCACGGCGAACAGACGCGAACGGACAGGCAGGTTGGCAGGCACTCTGCGACACCGAACTATTGACGACACACGTTGATCGTGCCTTTGAATTACCTTCTATTTGAGCTCAGTTTCCTGATATCTCCACGTTACCTGAGGGGGTGTCTCAGTTGGGACTGAAGCTGTTCATGTCACGTGTTCGATATTCTCATGTAGATGTCTCACATATAGATAGGCTGCGCACTGGGTACTCATGAGTCGAGTAGTAGAATTTCTACTCACCCAGCTGAGTTACTCACTCATATCCCGAGTATTGTTGAATGAGGATTACTCACTTGCCGGGTACCTAGTATAGGTCTTGGCAACCCAGTTATATCACGTGTTTGATTAGTCATTGAAAAGGGGGTGTGATCGTGACTTCACATTGATATCGATATCGTAAAACGCCATAACTCAATAACTCCATTCCCATGTCGTTGATATCCTATTCCACACTATAACCTTTGCCTTTAGGTACCAGGTTACCAGAAGGTTGCCAGAACTTATCTAACCTTCATTCCTGGGTGAGAGACATTTCCATCGATTAAGCCTACAGCTCCATGATTAAACATCATATCCCGCAAACGCCGAACCAATACCATATCCTTTGCCTGAATTGTCACTCTCTTCGCATGAATAGCAAGGAGATTTGTCACTATAACTGTTAGTATGTCCCTGTCACTATGTTCAAGTATCATACTCTCAAATTCTCGAATGAGGAAGCATTCGGCAGCTTCCTGGAGAGCTAGGATAGCAGATTGCTGGAAGCGAAGATTGGACTTGAAGTCTTGTGCGATTTCCCTAACAAGACGCTGGAATGAGAGCTTTGGAATAATCAGGCGAGTATCAAGTTGCTGTCTTCTGATATCGTGGAGAGCCTTGGTGCCTATATGTTTATTAGAGAGTTCTGGTAATCCTCTGGTAATCCTCTTACCAGACTTTGCACGGCGCATGGCCTTCTGAGCATGATTGTTGCAAGCTTGAGATGAGCGAACTGGAGCTTTTCTTGCTGTGCGCACAGCCTTTTCCTTTCCCTTTCCCTTTCCACCAAGCCTAGAGCCAGCCTGTAATCCAAGTGGCATCCTTGGTGCTGTGCCGCCAGTTGATCTCCTAGCAGTTTGCTTAATACGAGCCATTTGCTAACATTAAGATGAGTTAGTGAAGTATACACAAGACAAAGAAGTAGATCAAAAGATATATGTACTTACAGTGAGTTTGTAGCAAGGATGTTGTAGAAAGAGTAAAGAAAGAGGTAGAGGTTGAAAGGTATGTGTTTTATTTGAAGGTACGCGTTGTAGTGTTGTTTAGAACAGTAATTATTTGCAGGTGAATATTCCTTGACGAATATAATTGTTTGCAACTTTAAAAAAACAACAACCTTACAACCAACCACCTTCCTTGGTTACGTTCCGATCTACACATTCTTCTTCTCTTTTGCGCTTTACCTCTTCACTAGGACCTCAAGTAAGTTTATTATCTTGATTCTACAGTCAGAACTTCTGATGATCTTCTGCTAATCACGTGTTTAGCATGGCGAAACGCAAGGCACCTGAAGAACTCTCCACTAATTTGAATACTATCAAAGCTCGCAACCGCGTCTCCAACCTTACTGAAGATGAGAAGGCTGTTCATTTAGCACTCAAGGCTGACCATGGCGATCTGAGCTACTACTTAAAGAAGTTATACAAGTCTGCAAAGTATATCGCTGCCTCTGCTGAAGACAAGACACGTCTACAGAATGAATTGAAGGTTGAGCGTATTCGTGTTCGGTAAGTTCCTTCTGGTAATCTCTGGTAGCCTTAATCTAACTATAAACAGGACTGAAAAGGGCACCCATGCATCTTGCATTGCGAATCAGAAAGTCAAGAATACTAGCGCCCCTTCTTCTTCTCCACAAGCCCCACCATCTACTCCGCCACAACTTCTGTCTGAGCTTGCTGCATTTGAGGGTATCACCAGTATCCCAATCGATGACGATCATAACAGCGAATGGGAGGATACTGAGGTTGAAGACGATTTAGAGTTGGAGCTTATGTTACGGCGCGACGATATTTTAAATGACGAGGCTGTTCTACCAGATGAGCTTTCTGATGAAGAGATCGCTAGCATCCAGGCTCTCTTAACTCAAGCACGCATTGATGTTGGTACCTCATAGTCTGGTAATCTTCTGGTAATCTTCTGGTAATACTAACGGTTGATAGGCCCATGAAGAGTCCAATTTCCGCAAGTGGCAACATTTCTGGGATAGCTGTATCCGCTCATATACGAGAAAGGCTGGAAAGCTGAGAAAGAAGCCTGAGCATCTCTTTGAATATATGCCATGGATTGATGTAGAAGAAGGGTACGTCTCTGATCATTCTAGCAATCTTCTAGAGATACTAATTGTTTATTATAGCACTTTTCACAACGTTATCCCACCACATAAATATTTCTGTTTGTACGAGCAGGCAGTTTGGACAAACTTTACAGCTTGGAAGTTTGGAAAGTGGGCCCAATTACCAGGACCTGCGCAGTGGTACCCAAAGTCTTACAATCTTGTCAACAACGGATGGTTACAAGTCTCCACTCATAGTTCTAGCTTCAAAGAGGCGTTCTTACTTGTCTACTCTAAGAAATTTGATAAGGAAAAGTGGGCTAAGGTATCAGCTGCACAGGATATGTTGTTTCTGGAGTTAGAGTAGAGGAGAGAAATGGAGTATTTGATTTTCCGACGCGAATAGGGGCTATAGAGATTTAAGTATTTCATCGTAGCCAGACTTCTGGTAATCTTCTGATAATCAAACAATTTGCTACTTGCCAAATGTCATCGCAATATTCAGAGTTGTTTGACTCTGACAATCCTATTTCTAATATATTCTCAGACTCTCTTCCCTCTTCTCAACGACTACCTTCATTAAATCAAATCCCTGCGGGCCTCGAATATACTGGCAAATTAAACCAATTCATCAAATGGACTAAGGATACACACGATGTATTCATTGAGTGGTGGAAGCTATCACGATGGTATGAACAACACTCAGATCATACTACAAAACTCCTTACGAAGATTGCATGGGATTCAACCAACCAGAGTTCTCAATACTGGAGAAGTTATCACCAAGGAGCAGACCGGCTTTCTGGAGAACCATGTGTCATTTGTACCTATTGTTCGAAGGCCCTTACGCATCCTGCAATCAAGTCTGCTGGCCCAAAGTCTATGGCAACACATCTTGCATCAGACATTTGCAAAAAGAAGTCACGGATGGGTAAGGATAGTCTCTATCAAATGCGAATCAATCAGATGCGACCTCAACAGGTAAGGATTACCAGATTATTACCAGAATTATATAGGCTAATATCTATAATAGGATCATATTCTCACACAAGAGGCATTTTACGAACAAGTTCTATACACAGTTATCTCAACTCATAGCTCGTTCCGCTCAGTCGAGGATCCTGAATGGAAAAGGCTTGCTATCTTACAGAATCCTCACTATCCACTACCCTCAGCAACAACTATTCGAAACCTCTTAACAACAAAGCTCACACAAATCGAAGAAGAGATGCTACAAGATGTTGTTCCTGGTTCAAAGATTGCATTATCGCTCGACTGTTGGTCAAGTGTTACTCGACTTTCATTTATGGGTGTTATTGCATCATTTATCGACCGTCATTGGAAAATGCAAGAGGTCTTGATTGGGTTTGAACCTATATATACAGAGCATACTGGTGCTGAGTTATGTGGAATACTTGAAAAAGTTATCACAAGGCAGCATTTAGAAGGACGAATTATATCCATTACGACTGATAATGCGTCAAACAACACTTCAATGATGAGAGATGTGGAAATAATGCTTGATAGTATTGCAGACAACGAGCATTTCATTGGAGGAAAAGTACAACACATACCCTGCCTAGCTCACGTTATTCAACTTGCCCTTAGTGCTCTCCTTGGTCGAATCCGGATTACGCCAACAAATCAAGAGATCTTAATGAACTGGGAAGAAGAGAATCAGATGGAGGGCCTTGCAAAGTTGCAGAAGGACAAGGGTATTGGATTTACACTTGGAAAGGTATATATTCTCTTGTTAGTTCTGGTAAACTTCTGGTAGTCTTTTCTAATATCTCATAGCTCCGGAAGCTCACTATCTTTGTTAATTCAAGTCAAACTCGAAGGAACAGGTTTATGACTTTGCAAAAGGCAAACATGAACCGGGGTCAATCATCTCAGAGGCTTCTTCGACTTATTCAAGATGTATCAACTCGATGGGATTCGACATGCCATATGCTTCTGCAGTGTATTAGATAGTATTGGCGATACGGGTCGTATACGACCAGTGTATTAGATAGTATTGGCGATACGGGTCGTATACGGCAATACTGAGTCAGTGCGTATTCCAAAATCCCAATACGGGTCTAGTGCGTATTCAGTTCTCAATACTGGCCGTATACGGGCCGTATTACTAGCCGTATACAGCTAGTATTGAGGCTTAAAATTTGAAACAAGGGGTTCGAATAACTTCAATTGGTAGATCGTTATATACTATATATTACTACAATGACTTCACAACCTTCGGATATACTGTCACAGCTCGACAGTGAGCTATTTGTCAGTGAACGATTTGAAACCCCGACTTCGCCTATACTTAAACGTACGCTATCCTCTCCCTCTGTTTCTGTAACAACAACTGCAAGCAGACGATTTTCGAAAGTCTGGGACCATACACCTGTTAGCCGCTGCGATATCATTCGGAACTACCAGGGCAGGTTAATATGGCGTTGTAGATACTGTCTAAAAGAGTATCTTGAGTCTGGCGGAACAAAGATTATTACAAGGCACTTAAAATAACACGACATAGATATATCCTCTACTCAGGAATCTCGAACTACTTCAATTCAAAGCAATATCGCTGAAGCTTTCGACAAAGCTAAAGAGATAAATCATAAACGCCGCTGCCTTTCTACTGTTGCAACTGAAGCCTTAGACCCTGCTGTTGTTGAGCAGCTATATGTACGATGGATTACAACTTGTGGAGTCCCTTTCCGTATGGCAACAATATTGGAATTTAGGGCATTACTCCATTACCTTAATCCAGAGATCGATAACTGGCTACCTAACTCTATTTCAACAATACAGACCTGGACGTTGCGTACATACAAGGCTCAAAAGCAACAGATCAAACGCGATGTACAATCAGCTCTGTCAAAAGCCCACTTTACAGTTGACCTCTGGACTTCTCCCAACTCTCTTGCAATTCTTGGTATAATCGCACACTATATATCCGAAACTGGCCAATTAGAACACTCTGTTCTTGCATTACAAGAACTAGATGGCGAGCATACAGGTTAATAACTTTATAGTAATATTTATAGTAATCAGCTAACATCTTCAGGTTGGAATCAGGCAGAGCTTATTATGAAAGTAATCAACGACTATGGAATTGTATCGAAAATCGGATACTTTGTTATGGACAATGCAGGAAACAATGATACAATGATGGACGCTCTTTCTACATGTATGTCTTTCTATATGTATATGGTTTATTATAGTTTGCAACACTTACTGACTACTCTATAAATAGTACTATTTGACCAATACCAAATTGTCTATAATGCAAGACATCACCGCCTTCGATGCAACGGCCATATTATTAATCTAGCAGCTCAATCCTTCTTATTTCACACCAACGATGAGGCTCTTGCAGAAGAGAATAACACTAGTATGTTAACAACACCTACAGAGCTTGAAATGCAACAATGGCGACAGAAGGGACCTCTTGGAAAGCTACACAATATTGTAGTTTATATTCAACGGAGCACGCAACGATTAGCTAATTTCCGAGAGCTTAGTGGTGGCCGCAACCTTGTACGAGACAACTCTACTCGCTGGAACTCTTGGTATGCAATGATTAGTACTGCAACAAAGCTTAAGACTGCTATCAACCTTTTCTGTCACCAATATCAAGAGAACAGTGATGACTTATTGTTAGAAAAGGACTGGCAAGATCTACAAAAGCTTCAAGACTTCTTGCTATTCTTTCACGATGCTACACTAGCTACAGAAGGTCATAATGCAACTATTGACAGAGTGTTGCCAACAATGGACTTCTTACTTGAGCAGTTTGAGACTGCAAAGAGTATATATGCTACTGATCCCTTTATGAGTCCTTGTTGCAACTCTGGCTGGGTTAAATTGGACAAATACTACAGCTTAACAGAGAGATCACCAGTCTATATTGCTGCTTTAGTACTGTCTCCACAATGGAAATGGGATTATATTGACAACAACTGGCCTGAAGAGTGGCAGGCACCTTGCCGGAAACAGATGCTCGATTTCTGGGTTACAGAATATAAATCAACAGCAGTTACTGTCCCTACTCAAGCGTCAGAATTGGCCAAGCCAGTCCAGAACTCTTTCCTTCAATGGCATCAAGGAAAGAAAGCAACTATTGATCAAGACGAGTATTCAAAATATCTGCTAGCACCAGTTATTTCAGAAGTTACAGATCCACGGGCCTGGTGGCTTGAACCTACACAGCGCAAGACCTATCCAAATCTTAGTATTATGGCCTTGGATATATTATCAATTCCTGCGATGTCAGCAGAGCCAGAGCGCCTGTTTTCAGGTGCAAAAATTACGATTACAGACCGTAGGAACCGTCTTGGTATTAAGAGTATTGAGGCAATTGAGTGTCTTAAATCATGGCTTGGTAAAGGCAGGGCAGTAGCTTTTGCAGATGACGCTGTAGATATGAGGCAACTGGATATAGATACAGATATTCCACAGAGTTAAGGCTGTGATTTGAAGCTAGAGTTAGTGTGTGCTATAGGGAACTAGTAGTCTGGGACTGCTAGTCTGAGGGTTTTCATTGAAGTTCTACTATCTATATACTTCTGGCTCATTTGCCGACCTTCTCTCAAACATTGTTGCCTGGAAAACTGAAGCCAGTCATGTGGAGACGCATGGCTTGGACCAGCTTCATATCTTTCTGTTGGATCGTCACGCGCTTTGCGTGGATGGCAGCAAGTTGCGTCACTAAGTTGATTACTATAATGATTACTATAAAGTTGTAGGGTCACCTACTCTCAAACTCCCTGACAAGTGTCGTCTCTGCAGCTTCTTGAAGTGCACTGACAGCAGACGCTTGGATTCGCATATCCTTGCTTAGATCGAAAAGAATCCCCCGGAGAAGTCGCACGAAAGGCGCACGAGGCACAAGAAGCTCTGTTGTCTTCTGATATCGCTTAATCTCACGAAGAGCCTTGACTGTTTTGAATCAGCAATAGCTTTATAGTAATAATAATAGTAATCAACCTACCTCCAGTTCTCTGACGGCGCTTTGCTGGCTTCTTGGCAAGAGCTGGCTTCTTTCTTGGTGCCTTTCTGACCATCTTCTGGGCGGGCATCTTGGGCTCTTTCGGTCCAAACTTCTGGCCAGGCGCAAAGCTTGGTCTTAGACCTTTCTTCTTCTGGGGTTGTGTGTGTGGGATTTGGAGCTGTTGTCGTCGGCTTCGGCAGACTGGAGTATGTGGTGGAGGTTGGAGAGGTGGAGGTTGTAGGTTGCGACTACTACGGCGATGTGGTGAAGGTTCTGGAGTATTGGGGTGTTGTGTTGGAGTACTGGCGCCGTCTGATTCCAAGCTTGGATTGAACTCAGAAGCCTTGTCGGCCATTAAGCTGTAGGGGGGTTAATATAATGATTACTATAAGATTCGGGAGCTTACCAAGTAGCCAGCAGCAAACTGCATCTTTGTAGTGTTGAGGTAGTTGAGTAAGAAGAAGAAGAAGGTGTAGTATAAATTGAGGTGAAGTGAGGTTGCCACGTAGAAAGTGAATTTCGCCCCAACAACAATGTGCAAGCAGCCTTATTGACGCGTTTTACCAAACTTTAACCTTCTTCTTCTTATACCTTCTTCTTCTTCTTTTTCTTCTGCCTTCAAACACAACCTCACAACACGACCTACCTCACAACACCACCACCATCAACACCATCAAGGTAAGTCTATTGCATCCTTTACATCTGTTTTATAGTAACAATCATAGTAAGCTGACTACAATGGCTGGAAAACGGAAGGCCGACGACGAGAAGTCAACCAATAAGCACACAAAACGCGTGGATAAAAGACGAAACGATATGAGTGAGCCTGAGCGTAAGATCGACAATGCGAAGAGGGCCGATACTGCCGCGACCGCCTACGCTGTCAAGAAGCTCCGTGGCACCCAGCAATTCAAGGACCTCAACCCTACTGAACAAGAAGAGCGAGTCAAGGCAAAGAGGGATGAAGTCAGAATCAAACGGTAAGAATCTCAACATTCTTTATAGTAATCATTATAGTAACCAGGAAACAGTGTCAGAGATGGAATCCATGCGAGTATCGTCGAGCAAAACCTTGGGATTGGAGAGGGTGGTGGGGCGTACGCACTATGGGACGATGGGAACATGGCATGGGAAACTGAGGAAGAAGTAGACGAGGTTACTCAAGAAGCGATGTGGAGGGAAGACGAGAAGGCCAATGGTTACAGGAAGGTGGACCTTGAGAACGCCCAGTTGAAGGTTGAGGGACAGGCTGATGCTACAACTAAGGTACGATCAGCAACGCTATTACGAGACCAATACTGATATGGATACAGAAATTTGAAGGTCTTGGATTCTCTATTTGGCGCCGCAAGTGGAGAGCAGCATACAAGTCAACATTGAGGCTGATGAAGAAAGTCAACACTGACCCAGATTTTATCAGCAACCTGCCCCCAGCAATCGACACAGAGACTGGGTAAGTCACTATAGTAATATTTATAGTAATCAGCTAACATCTACAGGACTTATTATGAGAAGACCCCCCCGCACCTCTACTTCACCAAGACACAGATGGCAGTTTGGCGGAACTTTGCATCATGGAGCTTCGATGGCGAACAAGTCTACCTTCCTGGCCCTGCTGACTGGTACCCTGATGGCTATGATACTGAGTTCTATGGCTTTCAGTTGGATTCTGATGCACTTGGCGCCTTTCGGGCCTGGGAGGTGTTGAGAGAAGAGACTGAGCCAGCTGAGTACAAGTGGATCCTCCCATCTGACGACAGATTGTTGCTGTTGTCCCCAACCAAGGAATCCGAGGAGCTTCTCTCCCAGTTCTACAATATGTAGATCAAGTGCTGCTTTTAGAATATACTAGATAGCCCAATGCACTACTTTCTATACTACAAGCCCTCATTGAAGTAAGTTATATACTTCAGATCATTTTTCATTGTGTCACGTGGTTAATACGGCCCGTATACGGCCAGTATACGGGCTCCGTATCGTATTAACCAGTGCCAGTGCGTATTGAGTTGAACCCGTATCGTATACGCACTGGTTACAAAAATGAACCCGTATACGGGCCGTATAATACTATCTAATACACTGTGCTTCTGCGAGCACAGCAACTCAAGTCAACAATCAATCAATATACTCGAGGCGATCATGGTGCTCACATGTTCAGACTTAGCGAGCTAGAATGGAAGCACATCGAATACATCATTGATCTTACAAGGCCATTCAACTTCTTTACAACAAACATTGGATCGTCAGCCGGACCTACTGTCTGCTATACACTTGGAGTATATCAAAAACTCTTATCAACGCTTGAAGGAACTCGGCACCGGCTACGGCATAAGACATATCCATGGGCAGCAAAGATGACTTTAGCAATCGATGCTGCAGAGAAAAAGATTAGGAAGTATTATAACAAGCTATACACAAATACTGGATCTATCTTCGCATTTGCTAGTATCTTAAATCCTAGTGTGAAGCTCTCACACTTTAACAAAAAGGTTTGCAAGCTTGACTTTTCAATACGAAATTGGGAGACAGAGTTTGAACAACAGTTTAGGACTCTTTATAAAGAGCAGTACTCTACAGTGCGAGTTGCGAGTCAATCAGGATTACGAGATGCAGATATGGATCCATTAGCCTTAGTATTGCAGCAAAGTCAGACATTAAATGGGACTCGGGGCCAGCGAGAGGAATATGTGAATGAGGCTGATCTCTATCTTGATGCTCGTAAGTTTCTGGTAATCTTCTGATAATCTTATTCTAACTTGTATAGCACATATCTACACAAAGATATTGCTATTTTGGCAACAAAAGGAAGAGCAATTTCCTGGTCTATCAGCAATGGCTCGTGATATACTTTGTATTCCTGCTGCTGAGTCTGGAGTTGAGCGAGTCTTTAGTGCCGCAAGGGACGTATGTGGCCACCGACGTGGTCAACTTAATCCTGAGACGATTAAGAGTATTATGCTTATATATTACTCTCGACAATACAAGAATCGTCAAGGTCATCGTGACAAGCTTGCAGATATGATGGACGTCGTTGATATGACTGAGGAGCAAGTCGAAGAAGAGTATGAGGCACAACGACAACGGATGTGCAATTCTATCGAGTTACAATATATCAGCGATGAAGAAGAACCACGATCAAATACACATATCCGAGAGACATATTCAAAGGTACAATATCCTCCGTTTAATCCTCAGCGGCCACAGCAACAGCAAGACTTATCACAAGCTGCACATGAAGAACGACAAATGCGCTACCAACAAGGTGAAGAAAGAGATAGGGCTGACCGTCTTAACGAGACCTTATACGACATCCCAGATGACGATATCCCAGATAATGAAGATATAAGAGAAGATGGTAATAATGAGGAGCCTATACTTCCAACTATTCATGACGATGAAGATAAGGATATGCCGTCCTCGCCACCAACGCCTATCCAACACCCTCGGAAGACTGGAAGAGATCTACTTGATATCTTTCAAGCTACTCGTCAAGACCCTATAAATACTTTAGGTATTAGTAGGTCTGGCCGGCCTCATCAAGCAAGGTGGAAAGATGTTCTTGAGCATATATAATATAGTGTTCTGATAATCTTCTGATAATCGTGGTACTTAGATAGAGGAATATACGTGATTCGTTCTCACAGCTTATTAGAGATGGTAGAGTGATGCTGATAAATGTAATACTTTAAGTTAACTTACAACTGTAACCATAAAATAGTATTAATCGTATGAGGGACTGTTCACGTAATGCATATATCTTACACGTGACAGCCGAGTACTCACTGGGTTTTTACAGAGTAACTGAGTATTGGCCTCACTCACCGAGTCGAGTGAAAGGTTCAGCTACTCACCCAGCTGAGTAACCCACTGAGTGAGTGAGCCGAGTATTGGGCGAGTAGTGCGCAGCCTAGGCTCCACCTGCCCCTACCACTCGACAAATCCGAAATAACTCTCTCACTTAAACTCGTATCAGAAATCGGAGGTAGCCATTCTGTTCCGCTTGTAAACCTCTGTCAATGGTGGTGTCGAACGATAAATTCCGCCCGCTCCTGCAGAACATGTGACTCTTCTCATACCTAGCCCCCCACCACCCTTTGCCACCCATCGGAATCTGGAATACCTCGGCCATTTCAAGCCGTATCAAAAATCGGAAGACGTCATTTGATTCCCCTCGTAATTCTCCTTCAATGACGATATCGAACTTTATATTCTACCCATCGCTGCAGAAGCTATCGCCACTCACGTGCCATGCCCATACTGCACCCTTGCCACCCGGCGGAATCTGGGATATCTCCATCGTTTCAAACCGCATCGTAAATCGGAAGACGCCATTTTGTTCCCCTTGTAAATTTCTTTCAATTACGATATCGAACGTTTGATCTTGCCTCTCAGCTCTGCATTTATACCACTTCCCGTTCTATGCCCTCTTCTTCTTGCCACCCATCGAAATCCATTATAACACGATCATTTCAACTCGTATCAAAAATCGGAGGACGCCATTCGATTCCGCTTGCAAATCTCCCTTAATAACGATACTGAACGTTTGGTTTCGTCTCTTGTTGTAAAAGTTATTAGCCTCTGAAAACTATGCTCAGCCCCCCCCTGCCACTTACCGCCTGACAAGATCCACCATAACTTGTTCGTTTCAACTCGTATCAACAATCGGAGTATGCCATTTTGTTCGTCTTGCAAAGTTGTCCAATTTCCCCTATAGAACGATACATTTGATCCACCGCTGCAGGCGTTATTAGCCTTCATAAACTATACTCAGCCAGTCCCTCAGCCACCAAGCACCTGACGAAATCCGAAATAACTAACCCATTTTTTCTCGTATCAAAAAAAGGAGTACGCCATTTTGTTCCCCTTGCAATCCTCTTTCAATAACGCTATCGAACGTTAAGTTCAGCGCACTGCTGCACAAGTTATACCACGTCTCATATGTAACCACCCCCCTTGGCCTTCCTACCCACTGCCACCCGTCTAAATCCGGAATATCTTCACCAGTTGAACTCGGATCAAAACTTGGGATACGCCATTCGATTCCCCTTGTAAATATCTTCCATTGACGATACCGAACGTTAAGTTTCAGACGTCGCTGCAAAAGTTGGAATCCTTCTCACATGTTACCATGGGGCCCCATTTCCTGGGCCCGGCCCAACAAATCCGAAATAACTCACTCGTTTCAAGTCGTATCAAAAATCGTAAGAGGCCATTCGATTTCTCTTGCAAATCTCTTCCAATGACGATATCGAACGTGAAGTTTCCGCCGTAGCTGCAAAGGTTATAATCCCTCAGAGTAGGTGCTCCACCACCCCTACTGTCCCCCCAGCGAAATCTGCAATATCTCACCCGTCTCAACTCGTATCACAAATCGGAGTACGCCATTTGATTCGTCTTGCAAATTACTTTTATTAACGCTATCGAACGCACCATCTGCATGCCGCGTCAGGATATTACAATCCATCCTATAACATGCTCCCCCAATCACCCCTCCCATGCATCACCCGACCAAAACCGGAGTATCTCCACCATCTAAAGTCCGATCAACAATCGGAGTACGTCAATATGTTCCCCTTGCAAAGCTGCACAGGAAACGTCAGCGAACGTTCCACTCGATTGCGAGACCGTCAACCTACCGTCCCTGCAAGAACGTGAGTCCGGAAATGGACCAGGAGACAAGCCCTCTACTCCTCCTCACCTGGCTGCCAGTTGCTCTGCTTCGTGAAGAAGACGCACGAGTACCGCGTGCCCTCGAAGGGCGCGATCCAGTGCTCGAGGACTGCAGAGCGGAACAGGACAACATCCCCTGGCTGGAAGGGAATCCTATAGCCAAGGGCTGGCAGGCACAGCTCCCCTCCCTCAAACTCTCCAAAGCAGGCCATCGCGACCCAGCCATCGAGCACATCATGGTTGTCCTTGTGAGGCCCAACCTGGGCGTTTATCAGGATCGCGAGGCAGTGCCAGCAGCTCCTGTTGCTGAACTTGAAGACCTCCAGCTCAGGCGTGGCTGCACACTCACCAAGGTAGTTCTGCCTGTACTGCTGGTAGGCCCTGGGATCGATCTCCTGGAAGAGCCTGCCTATGGTCTGCGCGAGGGGGGCCATGGTCTTGTAGAGGGCCAGCGTGGCCCCGAAGCCCGCTCCAGTCCTGCGCATGTCTGAGCAGAGGGTGGGAGGCGTGTGTGGCTGTCCTGTGGCATGCCACAGCCCAAGGTGGTAGACTCCCCACTTCTTCCCCTCGTGCTCAGCCTTCCTGGCCTGCTCCATCTCGTGCCTCTCGTCACTGCTGGGCTTTGGGGGTGGCGCGAGTGTCGTGTACTTCTCAATGGCATCAACCATGAGGCGGCAGAGGTCCTTGTTCCTGTCTGGGAGGCTCAGCCCCCCCCTCATGTAGACGAGGAGCTGCTCTGGGTCCTCGTCTGCAGAGTGGAAGACGGTGACAGGCTGGACGTCGAGGCCATCCTTCCCACCATCCTTGGGGATGCCCTGGAGCAGAGTGAGGTGCTTGCTGAGCTCGAGGCCCTCCTCCAGTGTGGTGGTGACCCTGGGGTTGGGTGGCGTGATGAGGTTGGTCCAGGCGAGATCTGTGGTGATGACCTGGGCATTGCCGCGGAACTTGGCCTTCCAGTTATGGGAGAACTCCCTCCTCTCCTTCCACTCATATGGCGAGTGGGCTGTGTGGTGCTGGTGGCGCTTCTGGATGGAGGGTATCGGTGGCATGGTGTCGCGAGCTCAGGTCTTGATGGTACCTCACTATAAGATGGTATAGTCTAGGATCCCCAAAGGCAGATGACACAGGATGGTGCGCCCCTCTGACACTCGAGACTGAGCTGTGTGCTGGCGTGAAGAAAGTGTGGAAGAATGTTGGGTGGTTGTTGCGCGAGCTCAAGTTTTGATGGTACCTCACTATAAGATGGTATAGTCTAGGATCCCCAAAGACAGATGACACAAGATGGTGTGCCCCTCTGCCACTCGAAACTGAGCTGTGTGCTGGTGTGAAGAAAGTGTGAAGAAATGTTGGGTGGTTGCCGCGCGAGAAGGAAAAATGTGTAGAGGACTAAGTTTGGACTTGACGGTAGAAGTTCTGATATAGACTGAGACGAGCCACGCTCGCTAGCTGCGTGGCAACTCACATGACTGACCACCCCATCAAAATTGGGTTGAAAAAAAAACGTCGAGATCTGAGGCCGGGAGGAGCATGGCTGCGTTCGTCTGGGCGAGGGCTACGCAGTTACATGGAAAAGGGGATGGATTCGATGGCATCTCGGTAAGGAAATGGTGATCTCGGTTAAAAAACGCCCCATCTTCGAACCCTGGCCGGAGAGGCCACGGCAGTCGTGTGGACATGGGAGCTGCCTGTTGGGCTTCGTCCTTGCCAGTCTCACCTGGGTACGTAATTATAAGATAATCGTCTGAGTATCAGAGCGAGAGTGTTGCCTCGAAATATTCCAAAGGCTAGTCTGGCATTCGAGCTAGGAGGGTCTATAAATGCTCCCGATCAACTGGGGGTGGTGCGGAGGGGGCAGTGTAACGCTGACTTCTAAACGATAGAAGACACAGAGGTTCTCTTGCGTAAAGGTTTACTTATCAGAGGAGGCAGGGGATCAGACACAAAGGCTTCAAGTAACACGTTACTAGTATATAACAAATACTGTATTGAGTTGAGCACGAAGCTCCTATCTAAGGAAATACTATCTACTTATATAGTGGCGTCGTGCCTAGTGGACTCTTGGGAACTCACTCGAGTCCTCGGAGTCCTGGACTCTTAGGACTCTTCTCATCATCCTGCGAGTCCATCACGTGCCTAGTGGACTCCTGGGAACTCACTCGAGTCCTCGGAGTCCTGGACTCTTAGGACTCTTCTCATCATCCTGCGAGTCCGTCACGTGATACTTTCGGAACTACTATTCCCCGCTGCCCCTCCAGGTACCAGGGCCGGTCTCATGCGACCTCCCTCCTTCCTGTCCTGTAGTTGGCCAGCCTTCTTGTTCCGTCGTAACATCCCTCCACAGGGACGACGCGCGCAGGTTCCGATGGATGAGGCCGTCCCACACGTTCCCAAAGTTCGCGTTCAGCTGGTTCGCATAGCTGCGGTTCATCACCCGCGTGCTGTGGTTCCGCTGCCTCGTCATGGTCCGGATGTCGTCGTCAATCTCCTCTGCGTCCTCCTCGTCGTCGTTGGCCCCGACGCCTTCGAAGCACGCAAGGTCTTTGCCTGCAAACTTGGTCTCCACAATGTTGACCGTCATCTGGCGCCAGTTGGCGATATGCAGCCGTGGCACCTTGGCCCGCACGCACGCCCGCTCCATGCACCGCGTCAGCCGGTTGTCGGCCCACACGGCCCCGTCCTTCCACCACAGGTACGCGGACATGATTGCGCGTGGGGAGGACTGGCGCAGGAAGGCCTGGCGGAGCGGCACGACATAGACCAGGTAGTCCAGCAGGAGGTCTCCGATGGTGGCCGGCAGGAAGCGGATGTTGTCCTTGAACTTGCCCGTCTGCTGCTGGCCCTTGTGGTAGGTCGTGTGCAGCATCACGAGCCCGTGCTTGAGGTAGACGCTGCGCCTCCGCTGCGTGTTGCGCCAGGTGAGGGAGAACAGCTCGCTCTCGCGCAGCGGCTGGCCCGAGGCCATGTGGATGAGGACGAGGAGCCGCTTGAGGAACTCGTCAGCGACGGCCTCGTACTGGTCGATGGCATTCTGTCGCCACACGACTCTCGCATCAGCCCCTCCATCCTCATCAGTGGTGTCGAGGAGTGATGCTCGGAGTGACTGCGACTCCTGTATAACGTTGCGCAGTGAGCCCGCGAACGGCTTCAGCAGTGCCACGTTCTCCCGGTGCTCGCCAAAGTACCAGCCGAAGTTGTCGGCATCGAGGTTGTCCTTAAGCGCCCAAGCGTGCATCCGTGGCAGGCCTGTTGCGCCAAACATGAGCTCATCGTGCAGCAGCTGCTGCGCCTGCCTGAACTCTGACAGCAGCAGCTGCTGCACCTCGTCCATGTTCAGGTCGACGTCCCTGTAGGTGAGGATCTGCTCGTCCTCGTCCCAATGTGCCTGGTGCGAGCCCACGCCCTCCTTCGACACTGCGAACAGCAGCAGGCGCCAGCCCAGTATCTCGCCCATGGGCGTCTCCGTGTCTGGCCGCAGGTACTGCTCGCAGATGGTGTTGATGTGCTCGAGCGTGCTGCCGGCGCCCGACCTCTCGAGGTATGCGGCCGTGCTGAAGACGAGCAGCTGCACGGCCCAGATCAGGCCGGACAGGCAGCTGTTGAAGTTGCCCGGCTCCTTCCACGAGTTGGTGCGCGGCTTGACGCTGAGCATCGCGCAGAAGCTGAGGAGAGGCGATCTGAAGCGGTCGCCGCTGAACTCGTGGCAGACGAGGGCCATGCAAAGGGACCGGAGGGCGTCGTTCAGGGCTGGGCGGTCTCCGTCAGCGGTGCACTGCAGGGCTGCCTCCCAAGCCGCTGTCTGCTCGTCCGTCAGCCGGATCCAGTCCTCGGGGCACCTGCCCTGGTCCGCACTCCCGTCTCCCGTTGCAGCAGGCGTAGGTGGCGTGAAGTGGCTGCCGCAGTATGCCACGCGGTAGCAGTACGTCATGAACTGCTTCCAGTACCCAAAGTTTGTGCGCAGTGTGGAGGGCTCCTTCTTGGGGTCGAAGCCACGTGCCCTGCCTGCCCTGTAGCTGGCTGACGCTGATGATGATGATGCAGGCGCTTCGCGGAAGCGGCTCAGTGCGAGCTGCCTCGGCCATGTCAGCATGCAGTCCGGCCCGTCGAAGCACCAGCCGTGTGCCTCAGCGAGGATCTCGTCCATGACCTCGAGCATCAGCAACAGCTCGGGCTCTCCCTCATCTGCGCTCTTTGGCAGCGTGTAGGAGGCATGCATCTCGTCCTTCTGCAGGCCCCGCACGTGGTTTGCGATGCCCGTCCGCCCCAGCCATGGGACCACGGCCGAGCGGTAGCTGTCGAAGCCGTGCACCCTGTTGGCCTCCGTCTTGATGTCCTCTGCGACCATGTTCGCGTCCTCCTCGGCCAGCTCGAAGAAGTCCTGCTCCTGCGGCTCGAGGGCAATGGCAGCAGTAGCTGCGTCCCCTTCCGCCCTGCCGTCGTCTGTAACCGCGAAGTACCGGACGTGCTGGGTCTCAGCGAAGAAGGTCTGGATAGTGCACCTTCGCCACGACCTGCCCTCGGCCTGCCTGGCCGGCTTCTGCCCGTGCTCCTTGGACACGTGCGCCCTGATAGCTGGCTCCGACCGCGTAAGGCTCAGGCTCTGGCCGTCGACATCGCAGATGGCGCACACGAATGCCGCGTGGCACCGCAGTCCTGGAATGGGTGCGCAGGGCTGATGCGGCAGCTCGACCTCGCCCGGCAGCCGGAGCTCATATGTCGCGAAGAGGTCGAGCTGCGCTCGCAACTGAGAACCCTTCAGTAGGTGTGGTGGCTGCCTGAGGTGCCTCTCCTGGCTAGCGCGCGTGGGCGGGAGGCCGGTCTGGCACTTGGCGCAGAGCAGCACGCCGTGCGCCCGGAGGTAAGGGAACCTGGCAGTAGCTGCCATCACGTACGTCCGATGCTGGGACTTTGGCTGGGTAACAGAATTACTCTACTAAAGAAATACAGAGGTGCGCGCGCGCGCATGGGGACCGGAAAAGGGGGGGGGGGTTTCCCCAATTTGCGAAGGAATATTTGCGAAGGAATGGCCCATGCGCGCCTGCGTGACAGGGATCATTTGCGTGGGGATTCCCAATTTGCGCCAGAGATACGGCCAGTTCTTGAGGTAGGAGTTTTGGGTTGGTGCCATTTCTGCCGAGACGCCTCATTTTTGTATGGGAAAATGGCCGACCCCACCAAAACCTAGCCCAACTTCAAACGCCTGTAACTTTACGAGCTGGTGAGCAATGCAATCGGTTGTCAGCTTATATGATACGTAAGTCTCCTGTGCACAGCTTCGCCCATATAAGCGTAGCTGGAGGAGCGACGGCTGTGGAGTTTTGAGTTGGTGCCATTCGTAGCATCTTTTGTGTGGTGCTGCGCACAGACCAATTTTCTGGCACCAACTTGATGCCACGCCCGCGGCCGCGACATAATAAGGGGTAGGGCACTGCCAGTCTGCTTAAGTGCAAACAGATGGTCTTCCGCGGTCTTAATCTCATCGATGTCTCCGAACATGCATCGGATTTCCTTACAGAATCCTTTCCAGCTGCCAAACATAGTCTGCGTAGTTGCCATGCTTCCATTGGTACTCTCATATTTGAAATAATCCTTGAGGAATGGTTCGATCCATCGCAGGGCTTCCCCCCTAAGGTAGGACGCAGTCCACAGGGCATAGCTCTCCTGGGTGGGAAACTTCTCGTCATTGAAGTGCTGGTACAGTTCGACCTGTAGCAAAAACACCTCAAGTTCCTTTCGGTTGCCGGAGTAAGTGTCGGGCAACTTGACGCGTAGAGTTTCCTTGAGTTCGTTGATGGTGGGTGCATCGGGCATCTCTTCATTCTCAGGCTTAGACCTCTGAGACGAAGTTGGCGTGGTGGGGGTTTTCCCCTTCGAACTGACGACAGACATGTTGCTTTGTGTATGAGCCAGTGCCTCGTGTAATGGTGGGTGCACCAGATGTGAGAATCTAGCCACCCAAGGAAGGGATGAATTTACTAAGACAACACACTGTCTTAGAAAACAGAGCCAAAGGGTCGTAGCTTAGACTATTCCACAACGCAGCAATCAGGTGTGTGATGTAGTGAAGTGGTTCAGACAAGTTGCAACAAATGTTG